GCAATATAGGTATATACTAAGTTTCACTCTTTCTAGTGTTAAGATTCATGAAAAAAACGGACGACTTCTTACGTTGCCAGCATTGGCGATGGAAAGTCTGTTTGATCCTATTTCGTAGGATCGATTTTCATTCAGTTGCAGTTGCTCCGGGGCTTCGGTAATTAATTCGCTGAATCTGGCGGCTACTTGCTTCCATTTCACCAGGTCTGCCGGCTGCAATCGATCGAATCGTCGCGTTAGGATCGACGTCGATCTCTTATCGCGAGTCGCTCCGTTTCACCGAGGAGCAAACTGAATCGACAATGCATTTCGCTGCGAGCTTCGCTTAAGAATTACAGTGGATCGTAAAAGTTTTAAGAACCTAGCGCGAAAGAAGATTGAGTAAGGAACGATCGCTTGTAAATTAAACGAATAATGGAGATGAGAAGGAAAAATTCGAATGGTTTTAGGAGTAGCTTAGAACGAGGTCTGTTCTTTTTTCTTTCTTTTTTTTTAATCTGTTCACTGCTACTATTTAATTCTTATTCCGTCGGGTTCTTTGAAGCACCGAGTAGCCTTTGATCACGTATCTGTCTGACGCCCCTTTGTAAATCACTATGGCACGCGCCGGAGTCGGGTTCTCTTACTCGGATTACCGGCCCCTGATTTCTCAGTCACGTGCGCTTTGCACAGCATGAATCTTCAGCTAATTATTGTCGTTGAACCGGAACTACGAGCTCCTTCAACTCGTCAGAAGGAATCGTATTTAACGAAACGTCGTCGTGTCAGTTTCATCTCTTTAATACGATTGTGGGAACGATGATTAAAATTTTATATAGTAAAAAATAAATAGCTTGGATAAAAAGTAAATAAGGGAGAATTCCCAAGCCCCAAGTAGCCCATTAAAGTTGAACGGAGACTAAACCGACGTATTATCTAGGGACCCATTTCGCTGTATGTATACGACTCTTCCCCCATATCTCCACGTCCCTTTAAAGTTTATAATCCTTTAAAATCCCCGAAAGCATAACTCATGTCGCTTGTCTTAACTCTCACTAGTAATGATCGTCACTTTTAAAAATGATCCCGATAGGTTTAAAATAAGAGGCGAGGAATGGTGTTTCAAGAAGCAGTGATGAGTTAACCCATTCGCTGCCAAGGACGAGTATACTCGTCTTTGGCAGGGTGTCACGCATTGCCAGGACGAGTATACTCGTCTTTGGCAGGATGTCACGCATTGCCAGGACGAGTATACTCGTCTTTGGCAGGATGTCACGCATTGCCAGGACGAGTATACTCGTCTTTGGCAGGATGTCACGCATTGCCAGGACGAGTATACTCGTCTTTGGCAGGATGTCACGCATTGCCAGGACGAGTATACTCGTCTTTGGCAGG